GCATTTAATGATTAACGCCTATCAGTGAAACTGCGGCGGCTACGGGGAAGATGTCAGTGTTCTGGAGAATGGGGGCTGGGCGGGGTCATAATGCCCCTGTTAAGGAACGGAGACCACAGGCAGTGTTCCAGTTATTGAAGCATTACCTAACTGAGTCTCCCGTGAAAAATTTGCACATAGGTGTTAGGAAGGTGGTGCCGCGGAATAGCAGACTCCGCGATTCAAAAGATATAGTGTGGCTTTCGTTTCCGCCGAAGCACTTCTGACCAGATCTTCACATTATGCATTGTAGGGAGGGAGTTCGATGATTCTGGAGAAAGTTTATGACCGTAGCCGGCTCAACAAGACATGGACGTGCCTGCGTATATATGCGTTCGATGGTCAGTTGCTACGGGCCTTCAATCACTATATATTGGTTGATAGCAGGTGGGTGTTAAAGTAAATGACATTATGTTGACAAGAAGTTGGCACTAATCGCCTCGTTCTGTCGCTTTTTCTGTTTCTGCTTTACTTGGATAGGGTAGAACCGTGGCTCTACATGATAGGGTGGAAGATGTCGAGACTCGAAGTTTGTTGCTTACAGACGACATTGTTTGTTAGCATCTCCGGAAACTCATGTCCAGCTCTTTTTGGCAAGGTTCGGAGTCGAGTCTGGCATGGTCGGCATGCTCGTGATCGTGTTTGAAACCAAGAGCGTAGTACTTTCTTCTTTTCTCCTGTCGCAGTGCATCAGGTAAAGAAACTCATGTACCTCAGGGTAGTGTTTACACTGGATGGAAATGGAAGGGAAAATTCGATCGACAAATTCTGATGGCCAATTGCGCTCTGTGCGAACTAGCTGTAACTGTTGTGACTGCGGCAGAAGTGAGTCTGAAGGAAAAGCTGTTTGTGCTCAAATCAGCTTTGTTACCAATACTAAACGATGATCATGTACCATGGGCCATGACTAAAAAACTGTGATACCTTGTAGAAGCGAATGCAGTGCACTTTAGACAGGTTCTGGAATTCAGATATCCGAGAAAGCCTTGGTGCACAGCCGCTAATTTCTGAGTCTGAGAAGACACAGCTGGTAAGATCTCGGCACGCTTGGCGAATGCATCTCGAAAGGAATGCGAAAAGATACCAATTTCTCAGCCGATCCATCAAAGACACTTTTGACGGCCAAGAATGACC